AAAAAAAAAAAAAATGATTTCGACCATTTCGACCATTTCGGATATCCGAAATGATCCATTTCGACTTCATGTATAGTTAGGACATATAGCTGGGACAGCAAATGCTTGGGACATAGGAAATGGACATCACTGCCTAAGGGTATAAAACTTAAATCAAAATATTTTATTTAGATATAAAATTCAGTTTATTTAATATACTGTATATACAAATTTAATACAAAAAAAAAATAAAAAAAAACTAATTCCAAATATTTTCATAATTTGGTAATTCTTTATCATCATATTTATTAGGTTGTTAATTGATGCATTTCTGAAGCTATCCAATCTTGATAGTATTATCTCAATTTAAATTTAAAACTTTTGTTAATAGAAATATCTAATAGTTGAAGTTTACTAGTTAAACCATCTGAAATTACTGCTAAATTTATTTGTTTTTCAACAAATCTATTTTTAATAGTATTAACCAAATGCTTTCTAAAAGAATCCAAAACTAGAAAAGATCGAGAATTATCTAATAAATCACATCAATTCCATACATTTTCATTCTACCATAACATTTTAATTTTATTTATACGAATGTTAATACCTTGAGGAAATCGCTTTTTTAGAAGGTTTTTTTAATTTGAAAATACAAATAGCTTAAAGTTTTGTATCATCAGCCAAACATGATAAAATAATAGTAAAATGAGTTTTTTCATGATCGGTTATACAAATAGTTACTGTTGAAGTATCATATTAATCTATGTTGTATTAAAGATAAATCAAAAGTGACTGGAGTCTCATCCATATTACCAATATATTTCAAAGAGTAATTATATTGAATTTTTCGATATAAAATAAAACTAAGAAAATTTTGTTGTTTTTGTAAAAGATCATCTGGAAGATGTTATGCAATATGAGTTCATCGTTGTGTTGCAAAATTAAATCTTTTCATAAAACCTTCTAACCATGCATTTGAAAATTTAAAATCATTAATATTTAGATAAAGATTAAGATAATCTTTAGCTATAGATTTAGCCTCATGTTTTACGTAACAACCTTTGCTGCTTGACGCATATCTGTTACCTATAAAAACAAACTTTTTTTAAGTTCTGAAAGATAAGCTTTCCTTCCTCTATATAATTTCTGAATATAATGAGCTGCATTTTCTAATTTATTTTTTTAGTTTTTCCAATATTATATTTGTTTAGACTCAACTTCAGCATAATAGATAATAAGTAATTTCTCTTTTGCATACCATTGCCTTTTTTTCTTTAAAGAAATATGGTATTTTTTGTAAGAACTTTTATTACGATATACTACCATATTTTTTAAGAAAAGACTTATATCAGAGTTTTTTAAAAGGATACGTTATTAAAAAAAGCTGATTATATGTCATATTCTGATCTAATAAATTCTCCAATCATATTCTCTTTAAAAAGAAGCATCTGATTCTACTAAAATTCATCGATAACATTAAAATTATTTTTTTGAATTACTCATTGGCTTATTTTTAGATTAGTTAAGAAAAACTATTAAGTTCAGCTGTTTTAAATGATTCAGATATTTTAAACAATTCAGAGTTTATTATTATTAATTAAAGAGGAAGATGAAGTTTAAAAGAAAAAAAATACAAATTTGCAAATGATAAAATATTAAACCAGCGTCAAAAAATTATCTTGATAAATTTCGATGCATAAAAATTTATCATATTTTTATTAGTTTTAACAGATATACTTGTATCCTCCCTTAATCAAAGTACCTCTATAATATTATATTCCCTAAAATTCGAGAATTTGTATTGTATCTGGAATACTTTAGTCAACTTTTTACGGTAGATTGTAAAGGAGTAGAATCAGAAGTAGTATCAATATCTATTTCTAAAGACATGTTGGAAAAACTATTTTTTTCAGTTGTTTGTTCAAATAAGAGTTTGTTATTATTTATTGAAATTATATTTGTGATGAATTTTTCAATTCTGGGTTGATAGTATCTTCGGTTAAAGGTGTTAAAGTTTTTTGTTTTTTTTGAAAAGTATTATTTTTGTTGTTTTCGGTTGTTTTTTAGGAAAAGCCTATAGTATTAGAGTCATTTATTGGAGTATTCATTTGTTATGTTGGTACGTTTTTTTGGTTGTTATTTGGAAGAAGTTGCTTTAGTAACTAGCATATTTTTTGTTTTTATTGATTTTTTTTAATAAACTAGACATTTGTGGGAAAGAGTTTTTTTTGATTTTAGATTAGCCTATCTTAAGATATTTGCGATTAAATTTTGAAATCCAGACCCCTTTATATAAAGTAGAATTTATTAATTTATAATTTCAGCCGATAATATAATTGCGATTATCTCATGATTGGATGATCTTTTGTTTTTTTGTTTTTTCTCAATATGAAAAATCATATGATATAACGTCATTTCGACTATTTCGTGACTTTAGCTTCCAATAGTCAAAATAATTTTGACTAATTTAACCATTTCAGATATCTGAAATGATCTATTTTAACTTTATGTATAGCCTAGATGTTTGAGCATTTCATTTGAAATTCCAGATGGATTAGATGTTTTATTATTAGAAAGATTATGTAATATGTTAGTCCATTCGTCTTTAGAAAGAGGGTTTATTGAGTATCATAAATAGAAGAAATAATATTTTATTTAAGAATATATTGATGTTGCCATTACCTGAAATTGTTTTAGTTTGTAAAAGCTGCTAAATTTTGAAAATGATTAATAATTGCTGATTTAACTATATCAGAATCAGTTAGGAGTCTAGTAGTTGAATCAGGTAGAGTAATGAGAATACAATCTAAGATAATTTTCTTTTTTAATGATCTAAAACTGAATTAATGACTATATTTTAATTATTTTGGTAGTTTAAGCAACGTTGACAATAAATTTAACCATTTGTTCTTTTGAATGTTTTTTCTTCTAAAAAGGCTTTTGCAATAAGTAGTTTGATAAGAAATTTAATAGAATATCTGATGAGCATATAGTTGTTATATCAATAAAATATGGTAGGTTTATGATATAGTTATAGCATTTGGCTATTGAGATGAGTTTGTAGCAGAATTTGTGCTGAACCTCATTAGGAATAAAGGGATTATTGTGAATACATTTATGATAGAAAGCTCTGAATATTTTGTTCAGGTATTTAATATGTAAATAGATTTTGTGTATATGATAAGGATGGAAGATTTTATGTTCTAAAGTACTTTTATGGTAAGAGATAGTTGAGGTTGCGATGGATTTAATGTATTGTTGAATGTTTTCCCAATAATAATTTAAATCTCGTGAATTATTGATAAGAATAAATTGAATTTGTTAAGATCAGAAGAAAGAGTATGATCATTGGCTTTTTTGCCAAATTTTTTCCAATTATCAATAGAAGTTTTATCATAATCAAAAATTATTTTAGTAACATTTTGTTGTCTAAGTTTAGCTTGAGATTTGTGATTGAAAATATAATCAAAAAGAGTGAGTTGGAGTAGCTTATAATCACTTTGATAAAGATCAGTAAATTTGTAATTGAGGTAAATTATGGAATTGAGAAGAGATAAAGAGATAAAATAAAATCAATGTAATTTTAAGAGTTGTGAAAGGAAAATGTGAACATGAGATTAAAGTGGAAAATGTCATGACAGAGGTTGGTGGTATCATGAAAGTCTAAGTGTTTAAGAGAAGTAAGTAAAGAAAGTTTTCATTTGTATGCAGATTTTAAAAAATACAAGAAAGGTTTTTCATTAAAGTCACCCATTAGAATTATGTGATATTGCTTGAATAAAGCTTGATTGATTAATTCGAGAATTTTATTTTTGAATTGTATCCATTCGTTTGATCGTCATCAGCATGTAGGTAAATTTGAATTATACTTAAGATTTGTTTACCTTTTAGTGTGTTGATCAACACTAAAACTATGCTACATGTACCAAATTGATCAACATAAAAATTGCATAGAATCATGATATGATGTAATCAATTTTTCCGATAAAAAAATAGTTGTTCAGGAAACAATTTTATATTAAATTTTAATGAGTTTATTAGTTCAAATTATTAAGTGCTATAACCAAGTAATTTAATTTGCCTTGGAAAAAAAAAAAAGAATAAGTAAAAATAACTTAATATTTAAAGCTACCCGAAATGCAATTTTTTTTTTTAATTATTTTGATTTCAACATTTAAAACCTATAAACATCACAAAAAAAAAAAAAAATATTAAGTAATGATAAAACACTTATTTCTTTTTTTAATAAGTCTATTAATACATACTTTGCAAATTGCTTTGATCCCTTTTGTATCTGCTTCTGAACCTTAAGGACGTTAAAACGAACAGTCTTGGAAAGAGGTCTAATATTTATACAAAGTTTTTTTGGGGTTAGTTGAATACATGGGGCTTGGTAGGCCGTCACCCTACCAACTACTCCATCAATCGGTGATAGCAGCGATGCGTGAGACGACACGCACGCAAGAGACAAATCATATAATAAAATTTCTCACCGGCATTGTCCTACGGTCACCGTATCGCCGGGCTAAATTTAAGCATGAAATGAGTTAGTAAAGGCAATGTTCCGAATTAATAAAATTTCAAAAAGATTCTTTCAATACCTGAACCCCAATGAACGCCGGTGATAAATGAGCCGCCAAATTCTTGTGACGTTTTTCATAACGGTTGTACTTCGTGATATAATGTAAATATTCACGACGAACAATCACAGTCCTTTTCATTTTGGTGGACATAACTACGCCGGTCAAGATACGACCACGTATAGATACCATGCCAGTCCAAGGGCATTTTTTATCTATATAATGTCCCTCGATAGCCTCTTTTGGTGTCTTGAAACCGAGACCGACATCTTTGTACCAGCGTTGATTCTTGGTCTTGGCCTTTTTGCCGATGGCTTTTGCATTAACGAAAATTCCAGGTTGTTTTTGGTAAGCCTTTTCGATCTGATATGTAAAATTTTTAAATTGATTTAATTATCATCCATATTATCTTGCGATATCAAATAAATTTTCCATTGCACTAAGCCATCCCACAAACGATATGGCAATTTGAATACATACTTGCTCAGACATGTTTGCTTAAACGTTAAGAAACAGCCACGGAATTGATATGTAAACGAAGAGAGTGGATCAAAAAAAAAAAAAATTATATTATATATGATAAAGATTGATGATCTGATTGGCAATTGTATAATCACGTGATAACGATATTTATCATAAAAAAAGATGTTACCTCACGAGAAATTTTCTTATATAAATGAAACGGTTAAATGAAAATCTTTGGCCCATCGCGAATTCGGAACATAGCAGGTTTGGTACATCAAGAGTATGTTTTTAATTTTGTTTTGTCAAATTAATTTCTTTATTAATTTGTTAAATAATTCATTAATCTTCATATTATATATCTCTCTTGTTTTTCAGATTTAAAAAGATTACAGACCCTACCAAAGTCAGGGAAAATATTTGTGATATTGTGCAAACACATGTTGAGCCAGCAAAAGGAGATTTAATGCATTTGGAATTAAAAGATCCGAAACTTAAATTCGAGGTACGAGACTTTTTGATCAATTTTAAAAAAATGATAAGATGATTTCATTAATAATCATTCATATAACAATTTCAACAGATCTTAAGAGATTGTACAATGATAATAGGAAAAAGGATTCCTAACCTTGAACTTAATAACATCAATACAGTTAAAGATGCTGTTGATTTTTTTATTAGAGAAGAACAACCTGATCAAAGAAAAGGTCATCCCGTAGCAGAATGGTTTATAAAACATAAAGATGAGTTGCCTCCAAATATGATATTTATTCCATACGAAAAAGAAAGAGGTATAAAAAGAGAAGATCGATCCAAAGGACCGAAAAAATCAAGATTTGAAAGGCAAAAAATCAGCTATTAAAAGTATAATATTTTTTTTAACAGGCTGTTTTATATATAATTATAATCATTATTTAAACCTTTAATAAATATCTACAAATATTGTTTTTTCTATATATCTATATATATTTATTTAAATATCTCTTAAATATTGATTATATAAATAAGATTAAACTATATTTTCTTGAAAAATAAAAAAATCACGTTCCATCCATAGATGCATCTCCATATTTGAATTTTACATGATTTTCTCGGGCATCAAATAATAATTTTCTTTTATGTGGTTTCTCATCATCAGATGATCCTCTTATCAACTTGAACAGACCAGTTCCAAGTTGCATGGGCATTCCCATTATTATAGATTCACTCACCCCTTCAAGACAATCGCGTTTACTATGTAATGCAGCGTCAAAAAGATGGTCCGTTGTTTTTTCAAATGATGCCAACATAAGAACACTGCTCTTCATGTTGGAAATACCAAACCGATGAATTCCTAATACTTCACCCTAATGTAAAATAAATAAATAATTAAATTATTGTTTATGATATGTTATTTTAAAAAAAAAATCTGACCTTGAATGTCATAATATCTCCTAGTAACATAACGTGTCTCGGATCAATACTCATTCCGTGACGACCCATTGTATATTGAATTTCTTTGATAATTGTATTTCTAAATATTTACAAGATAAAGATTAATAATATTTCATGACAGATAACATAAATAAGATTATATACCTAGCGGCTTCAATACCAAGTACTTTATGTACTTCGTTAACATTATTACTGGTCGTTTCGGTGCCGACAATGCCTGTTAAGTTTACACATAGAATGTAAAATATGTGAATTTTTATATATATATAAATATTATTTTATTTTTTAAAATAGAAAAGGTCTTACCTTCAGTGGTCATTACTTCACGAAGACCGTATCCTTCAACTAACAATTGTTTCTTCCCTTTCTTTCCTTCACTGATTACTGCTCTTGTAACAGTTTGTATTCCCTATGAATAAATTTAATACAATAAAAATTTATTATAATATTAAAAAAAAAAAAATAGAAAGGACATAATTGAAGATGACGTATACCTTCACTATAACCTTGGGCAAGGCTCGTTTTAAAATTTGAAGCCTATAATATAAACAACTTTGATCTTTGTACATCTCTTTGTCGGGGACATAAACATCAATTTCATCGTTCGAAACAATACGAATTCCATTCTAAAAATTAAAAAATTTTGATGAATAACTGATATATGTCCAGGATAAAAAAAAATATAATATACAAGTCAAATCACGTATTTACAGCTTCAAGCTTTAAACTGCGATTATCGACAATCGCGCGCGCTATTTCTTTTATATTTGTCTCCAACTACAAAATGAGCAAATAATGACATTGATTAAAAGACAGAATTAATGATAATGACATTCATTTATTACAAACCTGTAATTTTTGTATTGCCTCCAAATCCAACTTAATGGCGAGAAAACATTGATCACGTTCATAAATCTCATCAATATATTTTGCAATCTAACAAATTTAAGTTAGAAATGATAAATTTCCTGAAAGATTGATTAAGAAATATGCTAGAATAACTTACATCCCCCAGATAAGTTGTCTCTAAACGACCTTTGACAATTCTAGCAGACTTCACATCAGTATCATTAACAAGTTTACAAGTAATGATTGGTGTACTAATTGTTTTAGACGCATTAATAATTTCCTTTATACGTGGGACACCAAGTGTAACATTCATTGAAGCAACACCAGCAAAATGGAAAGTCTTCAAAGTCATCTGGGTACCCGGCTCACCGATGGATTGCGCACCGAGGGCTCCAACAGCCGTACCTTTACAAATAAAGTTAACAAATTAAATTGAATATACACCGTAAAACTTTAGGAATTATTAAATGTTTCCCACCTGGCTCAATTTTTGCTCTCATAAATTTCGCCCAACAAATATACAAAAACCTTTCTAACTGTTTTTCAGTAATTTTTAATTTATGATTCACAACGGCTCTTGCAGGACCTTAATAAACAAGTAAATTAACATGTGAAAGAACCATAAATAGAAAAATAGAAAAAAATTTTTTTAACATTTACTTGAATCCAAAGTGTTATAAACCATATCATCAATATCTCCATATTCATCACTAAGTCTATAATCTCCTCTCATTAAACCATATGACTCTCTTAAATCACTTAATTTACTAACAAGTTCTTTTTGAATAAACTCGTTCAAAGAATCAATATACGATCGAGTACATGAATTCACAAATTTATCACTCTCTAATATTTTATCGGTAATTTCCCGCATTTCATATGGTAACAGCAATTTATCATTGCCAAACGGAATTATATTCTACAAATATGTTCGAAAGAATTTTAGATTTGTTAATTAACGGTTAACAATTGGATCATAATGACTCATAATAAATATTAAACCTACATACAATTGTATGTTGTAGATTACGTTTAAGGTCCACGGGAAGAATATCAGCTTCGAGAAAAGCAGGATCCAAGCCATCATCTCCATAATAAAATTGAACTAAGCCACCTGATGAATTTCGTACTGACATATCATAATGAATTGTCAGATCCTCTAAAGCCTAAAGAGATTACAATAAGCATTATACTACAATTAAAAATAAACGTAAATATATTCACATAACATATAATATGTACCTTCATGAGTTTTCTTTGCATATATCCAGTTTCGGCTGTTTTGACAGCAGTATCAACAAGACCTTCACGACCAGAGATAGCATGAAAAAGAAATTCCGTGGGTGTCAATCCACTATAGAAACTGTTTCTAACGAAACCTCGAGCCACCGGTGTCTTTGCTATAAGGATTGAATAACGTTGAGTTCATATAATAAACAGATTATATAGGTTTAAATTGAGTAACACGTACAATGCTTTGGAAAATGTGGCAAAGAACGATCTTGAAATCCATCAGGAATTCTGCTCCCACTGATAATTTGTTGACCAACACAAGCAACCATTTGGGATACATTAATTTTAGAACCTAAATTATAAAAGTATTTCATTAAAAATCTTATTTATGGACTAATCCAGAAGAAATTATATAAATAAGATTGGGAAGTTATTGATGCCTTTTGATCCACAAGTTGCCATAATAAGAGGAGCGTTATATTTGTTTAGTTCTGTCATGCAAATTTGACCAGCGTCTTCACGAACTTTGGATAAAACGCCGGATATATGTGCCTATTAAATAAATTGGTTATTAATATAACTTTTCAATTCTGCCTAAATAATTGCTAAATTACCTCCAACGTTTGTTCTTCGTTACAACCAGGTTGATTTTCCATCCGACCTAATTTGGATTGTTCAATGAGTTCGCTGCATGTCTTATTTGCCAATTCAATGAGCTCTTCTTTCCCTTCTCTTAATCTTTCACCAGGTTGCACATCATTGATACCAATAGAGAATCCTCTATTGGCTATTTTTTATTGATGAAATTGGATATTATTAAAATTTTTTAACATAAATGCTTTAAAATATAAATTAAAAATCAATATAAATTTACCTAACCACCGTGAACATAATTTAGATAAACGGTTCATTGCATTAGAAGCTTCTATCGATCCATAATCACGGAGTATTGTATAAAATAATGAATGCTTATTACCATCTCCTACTAAAGATTTATCCATACAACCACACATAATCTCACTATTTTGAATAACAACATAACCGTCATTTGGACAAAGATCGGGAGCTCTCCCCTCTTTCTTATCAAATGAACGTCCTTTAGCTTCGAGATTAACTAAGACTGACGACTTCCTATTTGGCCTCATTAATACATTAAAAATTTGCTTTCCAGACCAAAGTTTCATTGGTTTCCATATGCAGGGCGAAGGAATATCGATATGCATATCAGCATCTGCCATATACGAACAAATTTGTGAAAATTGTGCTCGATTATAAAAAACGTCTTTCTTTGTAAGCAAATATGATGACGTAATAAAATCTTGAATTGCAGCTATAATGGGATCTCCGTTTCGAGGTGTAACCAAATTGTTCTTTACACCCATCAACTCAATTGCCTCAATTCGAGCTTCTTCAGTTTGAGGAACATGAAGATTCATTTCGTCACCATCAAAATCTGCATTATACGGATTACACACACATTCATTAAAACGAAAAGTTCTCCATGGTTTAACTCGTACCTATCGACAAATGTAAATTTAATACTTCATATTAAAAAAAAAAAAATTTTAAATCTAGATAACGAGCTTTTAAGAAGAAGTAATGATCTTGTGAATACTTTACATAATGAGCCATTATACTAAGTTTATGTAAAGATGGTTGACGATTAAATAAAACAACATCACCATCCCTTAAGTGTCTTTCAACAATGTCTCCGATTTGTAGTTCGGCAGCACAAGCGTCTTTTGATGCTTGGTCAGCATACTTAAGAAATCTTTTCCCTCCAGACTTATGTTTGACAAAATTGGCACCAGGATGAATATCCGATCCGTTTATAACACATTGACGTAACTTATCAATATTAAATGCAAATACTCTCTCTGGATAAGTTAAAATTTTTGCTACGAGAACTGGGACAGCAACCTGGCAAAAGAGAAAAAAAATTTTTTAAATTATTCCTATTGATTAATGCTTTTTTTTTCTTTACAAATCGTACCTCATCAATCCGTAAATTCGGATCTGGTGAAATTACTGTACGTCCAGAAAAGTCGACACGTTTTCCAGACAAATTTCCACGAAATCTACCCTGTTTACCTTTCAACCGTTGACATAATCCTCTGCTAGGTTTTATACCCTTTAATTTTAAAATGATTAATATTACAAATAATAACTTTATAAATAATAGTTATAGAAAGAAGGTAACATACCGCCATATTTCCCAAGCCTGGCATTTCACTGTGTATATACATAGCAACTGTCAATTGCAGATAATCCCATTGTTCCTAAATATTATATAAATAATGAATGAAAGGTTTAACCTAAATTGAAAAAAATATATATACATATATATACATATATATGAAATATTTTACAACACCATAAGTTGTGTTATGGTAACTCCTTTAGACAATGCCGCTGTAATATTAGTGTTTGTTTGGACGATTTCTGACAATTTCACCGTCAAGTCGTCTTCTGTGCTGATAACATAATAAATTATCGAGATATATATCAAAAATGACCCTAATTTTTTTAAAAAAACGATTTTTTTATCATACCTTGCATTATCTTGCGCAATTGATGGACGAATCGCCACAGGAGGTACTGGGAGACGTTGCCATATAAAAAGTTCTGGTCGCGCATTTTGAGGGTCTAACCCAAGTAATTCACAATCCTTCATGTCAAATGGATAAGAAATTCATAAGTAAACGTTTAAAGTAAAATACATTTAACATATTGTTAAATATTGTACTAACATCATCTGATATTCTTTTAAAAAGCTCAAGAACTTTCAGGGCATTTAAATCCTCCTGCGCTTTGTGCAAATGTGGTTTCAAATCTGGTGTGTATTCAATGGCATTATTGAAGGTGCCCTTGAATTTGTCGTGTTCCCCTTGTGCTTTTTTTGATTTGAATTTTTCATGCACAATCTTAAGTACACCAACTTTCTTAACAGAACCATTTAATGCACCACAATATGGACACTCCGTTGCTTTTTTACACAAGGTGTTTATAGCTTTTTCTAATTTTTGACGCGCAGCTGACTCTTTGGAACTTCGTAAACGTTTCAGATATAAGCGACGATCGTCTTCCTCTAATAAAACGCGACTACAAGTCTAAAATGTGTAAAATAGAGTTAAAAACCTTAAAATCGTTCAAATAATTTACATCAAATAAAACAAAAACTGTGTAAAAAGGGAGATATGCAAGAGATATTATCATTTACCTTGCAAATATTTTGAAGCATGTTTATTACAGCCTTAAAATATCCAATATGAAACACAGGTAATATCAACTTGACATAACCAAAATGACCGATGCATTGAGCCATTTTTTCGCCACAAGTTTGACACAAAGTGTCATGATCCGATGTTCCCTATGAACATTTACCTTTGAAGTTTAGGTGAGATATTAAACAGAATTAAACAAAATGACAATAAAAATCACAATGGCGTTAAAGTCAGATACATACCAGCCGCGTATCAAGGACACCGTTTTCCATGGGTTTGCGATTATCGTTGAAAAGATCGCGGTGTGTGATCGCCAATTGAGCATTTTTAACGATTTCTTGAGGAGAGAGAACGCTAAATTGAATGTGCTTACTAGCAGTTGAGAATAGATCGTAAAGAAATTAAAACATTATATTTCAATTTATTGACTAAAATGCAGTGCTAATACTTACATTCTTCGAGGTGCTTGCTCAAGAACTTGATCTTTCATGATTGTGAACAGATCGCGGATTAAAGAAGTTTAAAAAAACATCTATATATTATAGATTAGGCAACGTTACATAACTTATCGTTCGGCTGATCATTTCCAAATTAGTATATTTTTTTTTACTATCACTAATCATGTCTCATTACTTATGGAAATCACAAATCATATCAGAATATTATCACATATGAAAAAATTCTACATTCATTTTTATTCTAAAAATTCATATATAAAAAATTTTTATTAAAGGAAAATTATTTCTTTTTGCTCACTTTCTTCTTGATTGTTTCATCCCCAACAAATATACCTTTTTGATTATATGGCTCAGGTGGTTTGTGACTTCTTATTTCAGCTGCAAATTGAAATACATTTTGTTTATCAGTTCCACTCAATATAACCTTTGTTGGGCTAGGGATGGCACATTTGATGCCATCAGGAACATCCAATATGACAGGATTAGTGTATCCAACCCTGATGGCAAGCTTATCATCTTCCATGTTAGCCCTGTATCCTACGCCAACAAATCTTAACAAAACCCTATAACCTTCGCTAACCCCAACGACATAATTCGTAATTAATGCTCTCGTTGTTCCCCACATTTGTCTTTGTTGTTTGTTCTTTGCATTTTTGACTTCGACGCTAAGTTTCTTATCCTGTTCACTATCATCTATAAATTCGCTTGACTCGATACTTTTACCATTATTACTCGATTCTTCCTTCTCATGAAAAATTAGTTGAACGTAAGGCTTAATAGGCATAGAATGTGTGCCCAAAGGTCCGGAAATCTTAAGTGTTGTAGACAACAAATCTGCTTTTACTCGTGGTTGGGTAATTGGCGTCGTATCATGTGTAATTGTAACTTCGGGCGGATAAGTTATTGGTTTACGACCAATTTGAGAAGCAAGTGATACGGTTGTAGACAGAAACCTCGTATCTGGCCGAGATTGAATAAAGCCATAGGCATTTCTATAATTATTTCGCGCAACTAACAAACCACCAGTAGGAAATGATAGTTTGAAATTATTTAAAGAAATCCTTTGAATCGACATTGTTAAGGAATAAATAAGCTTGTTTTTTCTTACAATAAATAATTGATTCATGGTTGCAGAACCCAAAACGAGGTTTTAAAGGAAGAAGTTCATATGTTTGCAAAGAAGTTGAATGATTATCTCCAAAATATTGATGATCGATTGGTCACGTGTTTACGTGCAACTCCCCACTTCATGTTTATGCAAGATGCATCTCAAACAAAAAAATTATTTATTATTTGATTCAATTAAGGATCAAAAAAAGAATTTGAAACCGATTCATTTTTTTTGAATGGTAACACATAATATAAATCCTCTGAACTTGTACAATTAATTTCCCTGCAATATTTATGAAATAATTTATAATTTAATTTAATTAAATTGTGGTTATTCTCCTTGATAATTATCAAAGTATTTCTGACTAATTAAAATCGAATAGGTAAAAGAAACTTCGTTACTTTATTCTAGTTGGTTACTGCAAATTTCTTTAAAAAATTTTTTTAAACTTTAAAACAAATTGAGTTTTGATTATAAAAATAAATAACCACACAATTTCTAATTTACTTTGTGATATCTTGTTTATAAATAAAGCTGTGAAAAAAAATATGATAAATCACAAATTTCCATAAAAGGACATCTTTAAATAATTTCATTCACAAGTCAAAAGTAGTTTCTAATTTTAAAAATTTATTATTTAAAAAAGAATTATTTGTTTGTTTGATTTCAAACATCGATGGGTTCCCTGACATTAAATATATAAATATATATTGTTCCAAAGTGTTGAGAGACTTATTAGGTAATGATGTTCAAGGAATTCCAAATGTACCAATCTTTAAACAACTTTGAAGTCATACAACATATCCTGAATTTGAATACAAGAGGTAATCCATTATTATTGATTGTCCAATTTAAATTCGTCCACGACTACTTTCGTGGCTTTTCCTATGCTCCAATCGCACCCCCAACGGTGAAAACACCATACCATTCCTTCCCTCAATGTTCAGCGCGCAATACACCAGTACGGAGGTCCAACCTGCCGCTGACCATGCTCTCCCTTATATCCCCCGTGCGGAAGGAAGGTTGGGAAAACCCAACTCCTTACTCTACTACCTATCCCAACCTTCCCGTTCAACGAAATTGGTTAAACGAGCTAAAAATATTATTAATAATGAACCTGATGTCCTTAAATTCACATTCAATCAGACCTCAACTATTATTGGCGATCTTGTGATAATAACAGGTGGTCCTGATTCTACTCATTTATTTATTTTAAACTCTACCTCGTTGATCGTAAACGAACAGAATACAAATTTGCCCGTGTCGGGTCACGGGGCTGTGCCCATACGTGGCTCAAAGATTCTGATAACGTTCGGCATTCAAACTATGACCCCACAGAAAATTTTTGCTCCCCCGATTCAACAATTTAATGTAAATAAAACTGACAATATTTCTTTTCCCACTTATGAAGGTGAAATCCCTCAACTAAGATATTATCATACAACCACAAAAACTGACGATGATAAAATCTACATCTTTGGTGGTATAAGTAAGAAAGATGTGATTCTGGGTGATATATTTTATTTGGACCTTAACTCAAATAGTTGGAATTTTATAGAACAAATTCCTCATCCAATCGCAGGTCATTCAACAATACAAGTTAATAATTATTTAATCTCTTGTTTTGGGATTGATGCGAATGCAAAGACTACAAATGGTTGTAATATTTTTGATATTTCCACCGATACTTTTATTCAACCGGAAGAATTAAATGACCCTCCAATTCCTCGTACATTATCTTCAATGGCATCTTGTGAAAATAATAAAAATGTCATCTACATATTTGGTGGTATGGATGCAAATGGTAATGGATTAAATGACCTTTATAAATTGGACGTATCAAAAGGACCTACATTATCATGGTCTTCAATAAATGCAAAGACAACAAATAAAACTTTAATACCTTCTGGTCGAGGAGCTCATAATTCCCTCATGATTAAGGAAACCGACTTAATGATGGTTTGGGGTGGAATATCTAAAGAAAATCAATCAATTGACCCGATTCTTTATTTCTTTAACATTACAGGTAATACTTGGGTGGATCACGATAAAACAAAACCTATACAGTCATCAAATTCATTATCAGATCATCCATCCGGTCATCTTACAATAATCATCGGAATTATTTGTGGTATGGTTATGATTTTTGGATTTGTAGGCTTTTTCATAATACGCAAGCGAAGATTTTCAAAAAGATTCAAGGATATAGAAATTAATAATGACCCTTACTGTCAACCTAGAGATCAATTTGGTAGCGATATTGATCTTATCAATGATTTTGAAACCAAACAAGTCCAACAAAATAATTTAGATGAACTGGAATCAATTCCTGAACCATTAACTCCACCTCTTGCTCCAATTTCATCTTCACCACCAACAAAAAGTGAAAAAGAGTCTGAACCGTTAGATAAATTAGATAATTGTCAAACAAATAATTCTGTCACGTCAACGTCAACACAAAAAAGAATGTCTTTTGGTAAATTAGAAAGTCAAAATGTTCAAAAGAATGCCAGTTCAACATCAGAAATACTGCGTATGAAACGAACTCATAGACGTACTTCGTCAGTGTCTTTAACATCTTCCGAATTAGCGAATATCTCACGAGCTCAGAACTTTGCACATCATAAATCATCATTATCGGCAAGTAACATCACAAGTTCAATCAATCGATCGTCATTAGGTGGTAACACACAACGAAGGTCATCTTTAAGATCAAGTGTTCTTCACCCTGTATCTGAAAAAGGTACCGAAATAGATTATCAAACCTCTTTTACTTTTAATCAGAAAAGCAGTCATGATTCAAGAACTTCCGTTAGGTCTCTTCAGTGGGTAGCATTTAATAGCAATATGATCAATGATAAAGAAGAAAATCGAAACACTTTACATGTACGAAATTTGCCTTTTAATCAACAAAAAAATTATTCAACATATCATAAAAGTAGACATTCATCGGATTCATCAGATGAAGATAATGAAGAATATGTCGTTCGTGGCGATTATATAGATACTTTTCCTGCAGTTAAGAATAAATATAATCGGAATATTTTTGATCATGATGAGGCTGCGCAACTAAGAAAAAACGTTCCACAAAATTCTACAAGCAATAATATTTCTGTTATTCCAGGACGAGAAGACATTGAGAACCTTGCAGAAGAATCAACTAATGAAAATAGTGATGTTAATAAAAATTATACTTCAAGCGAAAGTGGAGATATTGACAAATTTGCTCATGAGTCACCTTCATCTAGTGATATTGATCGGAATCAAGAAAGAAGTAATAGCATGAAGAAATCTAAGCGTTCATCAAAAAGAAATAGCAGAGTATCATTTGCACTTAAAGACGAAAAGATTGAATTTGATGAAACTGAGTCTTCTAGTTCGGTTTCTTTAGCCCGTATGTCAGGTCGTTCATCATCAAGTCAAAGTAGCACATCAAGTAGTGCTATAATTGAGGAAGAAAACGATATTTAAGAAGAATATTAACCACTGGGGAAAATTTAACCCAACAATGAGATGATGTACAACCGGATTTTGATTCAATAGATTTTCCTTTAATACCTTTTCATTTCTCTATAATCAACCTATCCCATGTAATGCCGCGTCAATTGTTGTTTGCAAATCTAAACGCGAATAACATCTCATTATAGAAGAGCATATTCATGACTTAAAAATTATTATCATAGAATAATGTCGATAATAGAAAGGACATCGTTCCCGAGTGTTCCTAAGTTGACTATAATAATTTAAACTTTTACTTCTTTATATTCCACTAATATCTCACCTTTTTATTCACTCTAATACATACGCTACTTTTATTAATTTGTCTGTTCATTTATTCCGCCCACAAATAAAAAAATTTATATTTCACGCTTTTTTAAAAAAATCCCATGTACTGTAAATGCAATTGATTTTTTAATTAATTATTTTACAAATCTTTTCCTTTTAAACAAAATATTCTGTCACTCTTTTTTTTTATTTTGCTTTTTACTTTGAGTTTCTTGGTTATGTTGCTACCTTGTTCAATGTTTTTATCAACCAATGGAACTATATATTCTCCTTTATTTTGTCCCTTACTTTGGAGCTGTAGATAATTAAAAAAAAAATTATAAATTTCCTCCAATTTCATGTTTTTCGGAATAACATTAATTACCATAATTTCTCTTTTTTTTCCTTTCCCCTTTTATTATAACACATTTATTCCTTTTTTATTCCCCCTTGTTCCTTATCTTTTTTCCCTATCCCTTTTTCCCTTTTTTGTAGTATTTGAGTCTTTTTTTTTCCTTTTCTAATGTTCTTGATCTTTAATTTTACTATATTTGGAAAGTATTCTTTTTTTTTTATTGTAATTTTTTAACTTAATATTAATTTTTAGATCTCAAATTAATAATACTTTGGATTCTTGAAAAAAAAGAAAAAAAATATTCTATTTTTTTTGTCTTTGTCAATTTGTATTCTTATTTTTATTTCCAAAAAAAAAAAAAAAATGTATATGTATATTTATTTTTGGTTTTGATTTTCTTTTACAATTGCTGTACATATATTATCATTTCTTTATTTTTTTTTCTTTTTTTTTCACTAATCTTATTGATATTTAATGAGTTAATTTTTATAATAAAAAAAATTTTGTAAGTTTATTATTAATTTCATAATAAGCTTTTTGATGCTCTAATTAAACAAAATACATATAAATATAAAACTTTGTCCCATTTTTATTATTGAAAAAAAAATATAAACTCAATAAACTTGTTTTTGAATATAAAAACTTTTATACAATTTTATTAAATAACAGTCAATCCCTTTTATAAAATTATCTTTGATCTTTTCAATTTTTACCAAATTACAGAAATGGAATTATTTGTACAATCCAGAATCTCTAAGTGATTGCAAATATGCTAAACGGTATTTGTTATCATCAGCTGGACCTAACAAAAGTTACATTGAATTAGTATAAATATGCCAAATAACGCCAATTTTTATCAATTAGAAGTAGATGCATACGATTAATGGGTATCCACTTTGGTTCTTCCTTGAATAATCCTAGCAGGTTATAAATAAAGATATATCGTTGAACGTTAATATTCGGTGAAAACAAAAGGATGGGAAATACTCACGTATAGTTTTTAGATAATCATTGGTGTCAAGAGTGAACCGATGATAGATACCCGCAGGCTTAAAAGAATATGATAAATTTAATGATTAATCACATTTAATCTTCTAAAACAATTCAAAGAACGATTCGAAAAATTATTTTACCAAAACGATCAAATCACCCTTTGATACAGCAATGCGGATCCACCGATCCAACAGATCTAATTTTTTTTTTTAAAAAAAAAAATAAAAATAAAAATTTAACAAAATTCAGAAATGAAAATATGAAATTTTCTTTAAATTTAATAATAATTACCGCGAACATCAAAATAGCCTGAACCATCAACAATATACCGAATTTCTTCATCTTCATGAAGATGTCTAAATAAGGAAAAATTCGTTTAAAATCTACATTCACCAACTTTCATCAATACAATGTAAGTGAAAACTCACTCTTCGAAAAACATTTTCAATTTTTTTTCATACAAATCACCCAACCCTTCTTTGGAACAAACAAGCTATGCATCCAAAAAAATATATACATATATATTTATTTATTTATTTATATTAAATTAATCAATATAATTAAAATCAGTGATAGATATTATTAACCTCATCGCGATTTTTATATTTCCTATCTTTTGCTATCTTGTCTAATTGAGCAAGATAATTGTCACCGTCCAAGCGCCAGTAAAGAACTCCCAAGTTCCGGAGTTCTTCAGGAGTAACAGGTGTTAAAGGTAACTGTTCGTGAGGTTCTCGAGGGTCATAGTCATTATTGTCGCAAAAGTAGGCACGCATTTTATTCTTAATTGAACTTGAACAATTTTACGTGTAAAGTTATATGAAGAGGAGAGTAGGCTTACAGACGATTTCTTCGAAAAATATCTAAAGATAATAAAAATTACAAATTTAGCAATGAAAATTAAAACTAAGTTCGTATGTCGTGTTTTTCAGCCTTAAATCGTTTTATAATCCATAAAATTTTCGAACTACGTTATTTTCACGTGACCCTCAATGCCTTTTTTTAAAGTTTAACTAAATCGGATGATAAAATAATTACATGATATTTATTAATATTATGAATTGTCACATGATATTTTTCGAGAATTTAGTTTATAAAATCAGTCAAAATAAAAAAAATAATATATATATCCGTTTTTAACACTCGGACCTTATTAGTCACCCGCAGCATTCAAGGATTAAGAAAATTAGTAAATGTGTTCTTTCCCTCCATAATAAAAAAGGTTTTGAAATATAATTCAACATTTCGACCTCAAATTGCAACTTAGGATGATTGGTCGGGCACACAGGCAAAAGATATTTATAATATATATTAGATTTTCAATCCCATTTGTATCTTATTCGCTTTATCCTAGGTGTTAGTTTGGTATCTGCTTCTCGAGATTTTCTGTTTTCTTTGGGAGTTTTGGTAATGCTTTCAAAATACTTCCATCATAATTATTTTCCGATTTCTTCAGAAGGCTAGCCCTCACTGCACACAACTTGTCGAAGATACACAACTAGATCAAGAATGTTTTTAACATCATCATGTTGATGTCCTGTTTGGACGTTGTAAAATTCAACGTCCTGATCATATGCAAAAAGCACTGCCGTTTTCTCTTATTAAATATTGGTCTGATCACACCAAGTTAATGGATGCATCATTGATGAGTCCGACATGAATTTTGATTTGCATTATTTCGTCAGGAGAAAGATCTTGTGTTCTCGATAAAATTCTATTTAATTCAAACACAGCTTCGTAAACAACAGCAAAGTCCTTGTGTACCTCAAAGCCTTGCTGTTCAAAATCAACTATAAAAAAAGGGAATTGCAATTGCCTTGAGTTTTTTACAGCAGTAAAATCGGACCTTGAAGAACCTTCCAGGAAAAAGGTGATTAAGCTCCCAGACTAGTTCAAATCGAATTTGATTCAAAATAAATGAATCTGATAAGATTCTTGACCACATCTGAATTTTAACACGAGCTTCTGGTGTATGGCTACCAAGCCCTCGTGGGTTGTAAAGTACTGAAATGATCGCTGACAGTGAGTGCTGTATGAGTATCAATGATATAATAGTAATCATTTTGATTTTGATTTAAGCCAAACCACTCTAACCACCCTTGATACCAAGCAGCCGTCATTCCAATTATTCCATTTTTAAGCGGTGCATCCAGAACATTGACAGCTTGCAGATCAGAATACTCCTTGAATACTACTTTGAGGTTATGTAAATGGAGAGCAGGTCTCGAAATAGTTGGTGGAGTACTAGGTAACTTTAAAAGCTTGATGTTTACAACCGACCACTTTAAAGATATAGAGAGATGCCTACCAATTGAGAGATGTGACTTTCTTGACCTTGAGACGTTTACAGTACTTATGTAATGCAGAAAATTCATCAACGTTAACATACAATTCCTCCACTTCACATACCATCGTCCAGATCTAATTTTTCGCGTTTTTTCTATTAATTTAAAAAAAAAAGTTAGCAAAAGGGTGTTTTCAAAACAAATATATAAAGGGGAAAAAAAGTAAAAAAGAAAGAGAAAAAAAAAAAGGAAGTGGGAAAATGTTAAGCCAGGACTTTCTCCTGCACATCGCGGAAACTGAAGTCCGGACGTTCTCAAATATCCCTCCTAATATTTTGAGCTCCTTTGATAAACAGAAGTGCGAATTATGCAAACTTGAATTAGGAACTTTCTCTCGAAAAAACTCCTTCAAATTGGTGAGAGTTCCCCAAGCAGTATACGGGCGATCCCAATAACGTGAGGGGTAAAAATGCGTAAAAATATGTTGGCGCTGTGAATATTCAGATGCGTAAGAATAAAATTAATAGCTTTTTCAATTATTGTAGCCAAATAATTATTTTCAGACGCGTAAGATATCAGTTATGTATTTACTTTTAGACGCGTAAATTGAAGATTTTCACGTGATTGGCCGATCAGGACTTGTAAAAAATAAAATATTTACATACAGTATAAAACAGGAGGGACCGTACCTATTTTTAGAACAGATGTTACACAATTCATTAAAGAATTATTTATACGTTTTACAATACTTTTTTGAAGTGCTTGTGTAGCCTATACTAACTATGAAAAGTATATGGGATGGCTAAGTAAAATTTGAAGCTTCAGCATCATAGAATAATATTATATTTTGAATCCATTTGAATCCAACATGCCTGAGAAGAAGAAATGCATTGAATGCTAAGGCAGTAATGTTCAGTAGAAGATTAGAAGTATATTGGACTTCCAATTTTCCAATTCCAATATTACTTTCAATTTCCAATAAAAATTTATTGGAAGATTGGAAGCATTTTATCATATGATACATTTTTATCCAATAATATTTAATCATATAAAAAAAAAGAATTTTATTAAATTTTATTCATTTGATATTACAATTAAGTAATCAGGCGCATTAAGAGAAATACTAAATAAATTTCTAAGTTTCCATTTTGCTTTTATATCTATTGCTGGATGTGTATGTTCATTTAAAAGATCACCTTTCATTTTACTATTTGAATTATCTCTTAATGCTTCTGTCTCTTCCATTCGTGCTAATTC